GCACGTTATAGTGTGTTGCGCCTTAAAGTGTGCGCATTTCGAAAAGATTCTAGTTACTATACCGTAAGTTAGAGAAGTAGTCTTGCTTACTAAAGGTAAACTTCACTTCCTGTAAGTCACATAATAGTAAATAATGATATCTTGCTATCTAAACTTTATTTAAAAAACTACTGACTAAGTCATTAGCTAATTGATTCATCAGTCTTAGTAAATGATGCAATGAACTAGAGGAAAGATGGTAAGCTTTTCAACATATTGAATAGGCTATTTAGTATACAGTTAGATCCAAGCATCATTGTAGCCTACTGAAAATATACTGTTACTAGTTTTGGTTTAAAATTATGCATTTTGTATAGGTGAAGAAGTGATTTTATAAACGCTTTCTTGAAAAGCCGGTAGTAAAGATAAATGAGATGCGACGATCGATTTAGTATATGTGTACTGTGTAGTGTACGGCTTATTAGGCCTACACAAAACTACTATAATTAGCTGAAATCACTGCAATGTGATAATCCTTTGCGATTTTTCGTTGTATCAGTAAAAAATCTTCGTTAGCGATCAGTTTGGGTAATTTTGATAAGGTTCAGCAGTAAATAGTTCTTGTCGATTCTACAGCCCAGATGCAATCTCGTTTCTACTGCAATAAAGTTACTAACTTCATTGAACTCTATATGATATTAATTTGTAATAGCATCACTGTGTGATAAAGCGTCTAACTTTAAGCAAAGACTTCCGTATCTTGAGAATAAATTACGTCTTCCACCAAGGACCAGATTAGCTACGACTACCTCAACTTCGAAGGTGAAATCTCCTGCTTATATGTACATTTGGTTGCAAAGTATCATCAAGATACAAAGATCAACATCTATCTTAATTAGCCCAGGATTTCGTTACTTGCATATCTCAAGGTGTTAAAGTTACCTAATACAGCATCTCTAAGAACTACTGCAATCTATACTTTTTATAGTCTTAGGTTTGTAATCGCGTAGAGTTTAGAATGTAAATGTTTACTAATACTATTATAACCGCAATAAAGCGGGAAAAATATTGGTATGTGTGAGCTTTAATTATTCAACTCGTATTTTTCAAAAGTCGAAAAGATCATCAACAAGGTAACTCTAGTTAAAATAAAGGTCTTTACCCCAAGTATATATTTAAAAAAGCTTACTAACTCCTATTTCATAGCGTTTTTAAGATCAAAATTATGATTTATCTCAAAGTTATCCGGAAATGAAATGCAAATGACACCTGAAGAACTGTTCTGAATTAAGCAATTTAGGAAAAACTCCATATGGTACGGCATATACCACAGAGATAGCTTATACGTAAATGCAAACTGAATAACATTAGACTACTAAAGAGAACAACCAATCATAGTAACATCAGTGTTATCAGTAATCATGATATTTGTTACAGTATTATTACTCTATTAAGTCGTAGGTGTTAAATTTATTTATGAAAACGTGGTACCGCTTGTTAACTAATAATATTCTTCCTTATATAATTCCAATGTACGTGATATACTTAAACTCAGCTTCGTTGCCACAAGCTTCTCGAAAATACAAAGTGCAAATAATCCATGAAAAGATAATTAAAGTGAAGATTGCTGCAGGAACTGTACTATTGAACTGGCTGCGCAGGCTAAATACTGCTTATTGCCATCAAATTGCGATAGTTGCGGTATTATCGAGAATTTAAAGGATGTGATACCCTCAAAAACTATTCTAGAGGATAATATTTTCAAAATTTAGCGTACAGAATTTATCTTTAACTTAATATATTGTCATGCTATATTATTTCAAATATACAACGGAGTGTAATGTGGCCCAAAATAGATCGTGCCTGAAGCTTATACGGTGTAAAATAGAGGTTTGCAGTTTGCAGATTCTTACAATCTTACAAGCATGATCCATTTTAGTGGTCATATCATATAAAGAAAGCTGTTACAAATATTAAGATGATAACGCCTTATTTTAAAACGGTACGTCATCACTAATGTAAAGTAAATCATAATATCTATCAATAAACATGCCTTGGATTTCTCGGTCAGCGCTATTAGATAGTTCATCATCTTTCTTTAGATTTTGCAATGGCTCGGCAGCTTTAAGAATGACGTGAAAATAAAAAAGTTTAATCGACAGAACCTATGACTGACAATTCAATGTTTCTCCTTTTAATTTTAATGCCAAATTTTAACTGTAAATATCACTGTTGTTCTTTATCTCTCTTAACACTTTAAATCCAAAATGATAAAACTAAAGAAAAATTTCAGTTAGCTTTGTAAGAATTTTAACAAAATTCTTATTGCGGAATACAGTAGATGTACCGTAATAAATGCAACTTTTGAAAATACTCGTATACAGTTTTAAGCACAAGTTAGCAAATTTATAAATATCAAAGGTATAAAAATATCGACATCTATAAAGTTTACTGTTAACTCCCATATCTAGAAAGTATGTTCACTAAGATAATCTAGCAGTAAATTTTCTTTTAATATATTGCCTTGTATGTTAGACTATGTACTATTCATCGTACTACGTAAATACTATGTATCTTAATTATGGTTGGTGTCATTTAGAACTGTTTGATCTCATTCCTAAGTTTAAATAATTATGTACAATTAACACAGTATAGTCACGGTCCGATTTTGGATGTAAAATGCGAACTTGAACATTCAAACAAGGAATACGTACAGTAAATCAATGGAAAATTTTGAGAAAATTTCTAGTCAAGTAATTTAATGAAAATTGATATGATTTTAAATTTTTTCAAGACAGAATATTTGTTGGATTCTGTTAGTATATCAAGTTTTTTGCAATCGTCTAACACCACATGAACTATTATCATCTACGTTGAATTTGATTTTACAATCAATATTACCTTCTACATTGACTACATCTCTAAAGCTAACAAATATGGTTAATACCCGCATCTACCTCAAATCTAGATAGTTGCAGTAGTTGTAGTGTTAGTATATCTTACGTTACTTTACAACATCTAACGCTCCTCTGTAGTAACTATAGTATTTTTATAGGATTTATGGTCCAAAGTAATGAATCTATTTTCTATTAAACTATTTATTTCAATCTTTCAACAGTAATATACCCTATTAGTATCTTTGCGGAGATATAGATGCTGATAATCGTCGCTAAAAAACTGATTTGGGTTATAACGCAAAGTTTAATATGAAATCAGAGTCTTGTCGTGTTACGCTTGAGATACGCTATCGTATCTACAGTAAATTAAAAATAGTCCATGAAAATTAATTTATCATAAATTGTGTAAATAATGAAAAGAAAATTTTGATAAACACTTTCTGTTTATAGCATAAAAGCTTACCATCTTCTTTTACAGTATTGGATTTCCTTTTTGAATTTTTATATGTAGAAATAACTTTACACATACGATGATCTTCAGCTACAGAGCGCAGCCCGCTTTTAAAGAGTGCTTTAACTAATGCTCTCTTTGTGTAACTCCGACCTTTCCTACTCGCATACATACTCAACATTTGCGCACATTGATCGTCAACTGATCCATTATTTTCAGCTATAATTTTATTGATGTCGCGTTGACCAATTTTAAATGCTCTTGCCAAAGTTTTCCACTCCGTTCCAATATCTTTTGCGATTTTGCTGTTACACTTCTTGGCCGCTACAATAATTTTATTTTATTTGCAAAAATAGGATCAGCGGCTACTTACGGTACATCATATGAAACAGTTAATAGAAAATCGAATGTAGCAAGAATGAACGATTCTCTCTATACTAAAATCAAGAATATTCCTCTTTCTAAGTTGCAATTGTTGGAAGTGCTTGCTATACAAACCAATTAAATGACTCCATCTTACAAATCAGGCAAGTCGCTGCTATTGTAGTATGCGATAGATTTTACTGTATTATCACTTAAAATAGTAAAAGAATGTTAGCCACAGTACAACTTACAAGAACTAGGTTTGACCATTTCTATCTCAACAGTTTCATTAGAATCGACAGAGACTTTAAATCGAATTCCGGGTTCTAGAGTTGAATCGACATTACAAAGATACAGTATCATCAGCCATTAAAGAAACCAAAGTATAATCTTATTTGCTACTATGCATGCAAGCGCTCAACATTTCTATAAAGTATTATAACATCGTTAAACGTTAAAAGTATGTATTCTTTTGGCTTAAATGATTCTAATATAGTGTGATTTACTTAACTCAATGTTGTTATACTAACTGCAAGATATTCTCTTTAAAAATACAGAATGTGAGAACTTATTGAAAAATATACTTTAATTCAAAGAAGACTGTACAAAACACAT